TATATAACAGGTTCTCTGTAAGCCTGTTCCTTGTTCTTCTTTTTGAACTCCATGTTCAAAAATCCTAGAAGTTCCTCTTTTTAACTTCCCTAACCACCTTTGACCAAAGTAAAAGCATTATTTTGTAGCAATTGGAGAAACACACAGGGAGAACATAAGGATTAATGACTCTTCCAAAATAGAATAGCACAATTCTGGAACTGCATCTCAGGAAATTTAAGAAATTGAGGCATCTTACTCAGAAAATGCCCAAAAAGTCAATGCCCAGGTTCAACTCAGATCTGGATCTACACATAAACCAAAGTTAAGGAACAATGAATGTATCTATCCCTGACCCACATTGACTTGAGGGTAGGGCTAAGTTGGACTCAAATTTTTTATTTGTTATTTAACTCTAGGTACCATTGTACCTAGAGTTAAAATACTAAAATAGTGACTATTTTAAACTACGCAGAGGCAGAATGTTTTTGCCCCACTCTTCAAGAAACACAACAGTTCCCTGTAAAGCATAAGAAACTATCTGAGAAAAAAATGCTTCCATTTTGATACATATACATAGCATTTATAGAAAACTTATGAGTCAGGGTGAGTGAGGCATGATGCCAAAATTAACAAAGGAGCAAAAACATTGGTGGTTGTCCTTGTTACCATTTGTATAAAACCACAGAAGTTTCCAATGCGTGTCTTGTTAAATTATGGATATTTTGGAAAGTGAAGCACAGTATACATTTAGCTTTAATACATTCAAAGAGTGATGCATCATTTGAACAACATCATCTTCACTATTGAAGGTGAGTGCACATTATTAGGTGTTGATAACAAGTTTTATACTTGTTAACTTGGATGTTAACATCTAGAAAAAAAAAGGAAATCCATTCTTTTTGTAATCCAGTTCTTAGAAATTCTTTAGAATTTGCTAAAAATGTCACCTTTGGTTCATAAAATGCCACTGCTCATTATGGCTCACTTTACCACCTCAGCAACTAAAACTTTCTGGAACTCAGTTTAAGAAGGTTACAAGAACTTTCCACCTGTTTCTTGTTCTATCTATGCTATCTGAAATTGATGTCTTCATTTGCTGCACACTTGGTGTGTAGAAATGCAGGTCTTGCCAGTTTGTGGCTCACCCAGCTCTACAGAACTCTTAAATAAGACTTCAGGGTGAGAATGATGGAAAGAGGGTGCTTATTCTTTCTTCCTTCCCTATCTCCCTGTTTTCTCACTTCAACAAGCTCTGACAGAACACCAAAGCCACGAGTCTGTGCAATGTTCCCAGGACATTATATAGAACCATGTCTAGGTAATTTGCTTCCTATATATCCTCCTACCACAAACATGTGTACTCAAGAACATTCTCACACATTGTAAAGTATTTCAAAATCTGAGTTTTCCAAAGTGTTAGCATGGTGAAGAGGCTTTGGGGTCTTTTATGTAGTGTATTGAGTACAGCGTGTGAAAGAGTCCCTGGCTTCCTTTGCTTGTTTTATAGATCTGAAGAGACAGCATGACACAACCTCATGCTTATCACTCATATTATTACCTTATAATTCTTTGCTTCAAGAGCAGTGACCTAGATTATTTTCTAAGCCAGCCTGTTACTGGTCATTCTAAACTATTTCACTGGTTAAAAAACAATAATAATACCGAACCTTCTCCAGAAAAAAATAAGCACCTTGTACTTAGTATTCTTCCTATTTAATTATTTGCCTAAAATAAAGTCACCTTTCATGACTCATACAGCAAAAGCTATAGCAGGTAACATTTCTTCTAAATGCACAGCTATTGCTCAGCTAGGAAATAGCAGAAAGTAGGACATTTGAGCACGTGTGTGCACCCAAATGTGTTCTCTGATAATCACTGTACTTTGAAGCACTAGATACTTTTGCCAAATCAGTAGATTTTACTTTACATTCAAACGTTGTAAACTATTGTGATTTAGTTTTTAAAAGAATATGTAACACAAATACATGCTGCACTTCTCCTCTCATTAGAGATCACGTAACACAACTACAGGACAAAGTAGTAAATCCTTCCCTTTATTAGCTGCTTATTTTTACACTAACCTGCTCTAAAACCTTTAGCCCAACTCCCCATACATGTTGATGATTTCAAGAACTAAAAATAATCAGTAAATTATTTTATAACTTGCAAAAATAGAGAAGAAAAACCAACTTAAAATATGTCTCTGAAATAATAAAGAATGCTTTGCACCAATTCCCTAGTGCTTGGCAGAATTCTGTCAAGATTTTTTATTTGAAACCAGTTAATTGTCCTCCTTTTAGATTTAAGATAATGTAATAGGTAGTAGTCAATCTGTTCTTTTTGCTTTTAACAGTTAAGAGGAGTTTAGTCCTTGTTTTATTTTTATTACCCAATTAATTTCTTAGTTGTATTGCTATCTTGGGATCAAAAGGCTGCAAATGATTATAGGTTTTGTGTTAATAGCAGGAAAATAGACCTCACCAAGTACAATATTCATAGGAAATGGCAGGCATGGGTTTGAGTACAGCTGAAAGGATCAAAGCCTTTTAAATAACAGTTGCATAGTTTGATACATCAATTTCTATTTTTTTTTAAATCTCCTAAATTCTCAGACTTCCAATATGAACTCAAATCTCTGGCAATCTAAGACTTAACTATCCTATTAGACTATGTGATGATGTCGTCAGACGTACCATAAGTTAACCCATCACTTCACACTCAAGTGAAATATAAGCTGCAAATTAAATTGCTCTGAAAATAGTCATTTGTTTAGTGCCTTCCAAAACACTTTGGAGAGAGAAAACTACTCTAGAGAGATGAAAGTAGGTGGGGAGGGGAAGTACAATAAAAAGATATTGAGCTGAGTGGTGGGGGGATTGGCATTTCCAGTAAAAAATATTTACAATAAAAACATAAAGACCTCGAAACAAACTTTCTGTTTTTTCCTACTGAATTATTTCCCACTCACCAAACAATATTTTGGAAGGATTGACTTCAAGGTACCTAGACAAATAGCCAAGTCTCAAAAAAAGAAGATTTTTTTTTAAACTGTGTTCCTTTCTCAGAGGAGAGCTAAATCTTTTCACAGAAAAACACAAGGTTTATACCCTTTGACCTGTCCCACTTTGGGAAGTCCTGCAGGCAGTATTTTCATGTCCAGGGCATGAACCAGTGCTGTAGGTGTAGGGGGGTAATTGAACCAGGCATCTATAATGTTAGACTGAATGCCAAGAATCAGGAGTATACCCTGGGCCTGAATCAGCAACGCTCTGCTAAGTAAAGTGTCCAGTCTGCTGTCCCTTTAGACAAGTCTCAAGATGAGAACACCATACCAGAGTCACTAAACGTTGGCTAGTTAAGGAACAGAAGAGTAAAAGGACAGGAAACAGTGAAGGAGGCTGGTTAGACAGAGTGTGGATCTAGAACTTAGGGACCCTGGTTGTAGGGTAGAGGCAACAACTCCACTGCAGCAGGGAACCTTCCTTGGAAGCCAACAGCTGCTTCCTCTCAGAACCTCCACAGTCCTCTAAGCTTCCCAGCTAGAAGCAACTTCCCTTGGCCTGAGCATAGGAACATCTGCCCTTTTGGACACTCTTTAACAACAGTCATGCACCTTGCCTTTTGCTGCAGAAGTGGTGCCTGCAAAGCGTCCTAGACCTCCACACCCACTGCCTCCAACCCCGCCCACCCACGCTCCACTGTTCTCCCTGCAGCCACAGGACCGCAGCCCCCTCCGCTCGCGTTTTCCAGGCGATGCTACATTTGCTAGGTTCAGAGGCTGGGAGCGAGCAGCCACTTGCTGCCCGTTCGTGGGAGGTCTGGATGCCAGGCCAGCGTGGCTGGCTCTGAGCTCCAGGTGTCAGGGCGGCCGCGGAGAGCCATGATCTAGTGCGCCGCAGTGCCAGCCTTAATCGCCCCGCTGCGGCCGCAGGACAGATGATTTCCCCGCCCTCCAGCACGACTACAAACCAAAAAAAGAAAAAAGAAAAGAGCTCCAGGTCTCTTCCCACACAAGGCCAGCCAGGGATGCCGCACACTCCTTGTGGACAGCAGGACTGATTTGAGAAAAGACTTCACCCAGTCTCCTTTGAGACAGCTGCCACCACCAGGCAGCCCTCCGAGCCTGGCTGCCTGAGGGTAACTCGCCCACAACTCTGTTAGTCCCAAATGCCTCATACCAGACACAGGGAAGTAAACCCCTGGGACCGACTCCCCAAATCACCTGCATTTGCATTTCTTATGTAATATACTGCAAGTTTCCCTGGTTGGAGCCCTTTGAAATCTAGGCGCATGATCTCCAGGAGGCATAAGTCAGGGACCCGCTGGTCATTCTGGGAACCACACACAGGGTTTCCACACGGGATTTTAAAAGGGAAGGGACTTAAATGGCATATACTAGAGGTATATGGGCTTGTCCTCTGGGTCCTGGTTCCCCCAGGCACAAGCCCTGCTCCAGTGTTGACTGTTCGCGGGCTGGATGTGTTAGAGGCAGACTAGGGAATGAGTTAATAACACCCAGAGCTGGACGGGGGAGGAAGGCGGGGGCTGACGGACGAGCCAGGTCATGAGGGAGGGGGCGCTTTTACTTTGCTAAAGGTGATGGGGTGGCGAATATTGTGCAAGCTAATCAGAAAGTCTAAAGCTACGTCTCCGGAGGAGCAGAAGTAAGGCAAGCTCTCCGCTCTTTCTCCTGGCACAGCCATAAGCCATAAGCCCTACAATATTCCACCAGACACGGGAGACCAAATCCATTTAGTGGGGGGATTCTAAAAAAGTTTCCTCCTCCCTCCTAGTGATGGATCGTGTCACAGCTAGGAGCTGTTGATCAGGGTTTTCGGGTCGAGAGGACGTAGATCCGGCGGTGGCTACTTGTTTATTCATGCAACACCTCTGTATGCAACACTGTCCGGGTTCCTTGCATGTTCCCTGGCCTGCATAGCAAAACTGCAGACCTAGCTCGGTGAGCAACAGACAGGGTATTACGAGGAAAAACAGAATATGATGCATGCTTTGCTTACCAGTTGGGTTCTTGTTTTTCTTAAGACTCTTGCCACAAAGACACTGCAGCATATGCGTTCCTTTGCTGAAAATGTTCCAAAGAAACCACATTGATTTGGGCGAAAAGCAACCCAGCAGCTTAGACACCCTGAGAAAAAAGAGGCCCTTGTGGTTGCATAATAATAACTTGAAATCAGTTCTCCTGAAGAGGGGCACCGGTTTTACCATAGGAAAAACGTTAATATTCCGGATCTTCTCCCAGTTTTTTCCCCTCACGTGGTATATTTCTTTGAGACTTCTCAGCGATTGTTTTTTCTCGGCCAGGGTGAATGATTTATCCCCTCTTGATCACCACTGGATCATGACCAAAGGGTTGGAGAGAAAAAAATCCTTTTTCACATGAAGACAAACCGAAAAAAGCAAAGAAATCCCAACCGAGACCAGAACTAATCAGGAAGAAGAGTAATGCACAAAAGATCCCCAAAGAGAAAATCATAGCCTTTTCCTCAATGGAACTGAGGATGGGCGGATCTGCAGAAGGCAAGCCGGATTCATCTTAGCGAGAGAAGTCTGCCATTGTGTAGCCCCTAGGAGAGAAGGAAAAAAAGGAGGGGGGGATGGAAATAAAAAAGGAAGAAAGAAAAGAAAGAAAGAAATAAAAACAAAACACCACCACACACACTCATACACCAATACCACCTCCTAAATGGATCTGTCAGCCAAAGACTGAGCCTTCTCTCTCCCGCGGCCAATTTTTTTTTTCTTTCTTTCTTTCTTTTTTTTTTTTTTTTAAGTAAGCAGTCACCAGAGCTCCGTGGGGTTGGACTGAAACTGCAGTTCTTAATCACGAAGAGAAGATGTAATATAGATGCCCCCTCCCCTTGTCAGTCTCGTAGTAGGTAGAAAGCGCCACAAATTTCCTTCCTCCTTCCTTACACTCTTCCTTCCAGTCTCCAGGCACCGTGAGCATGAGGAAAATCTCTCCTCCGTATTTCTCGCCCAGCCTTGGCTGTGAGTTACAGGCATTGGAGGGAGGAGGAGTTGAAGTTTGCATTGAAAAGACTGGCTTTCCATGACGTAGCCACGTGCTTTCAGACCCGTCACCAGTGAGGTGCCTCAACCAGCCTTGGGAGGGACTGTGACTGCAGTGTGTGCCACCCCTCCGGAGCGCTCCCCTCCGCCAACTCCAGACACGCTCGGTCCAACCCCAGAGACCCTCTTCCTCCTCACGCAGCTCATAGGCCTGCTGCTGGCTCTTAGAGTCAGGCTCACATCCTGCTGTTAAAAATGAATTTTAAAAATATAATTAACAATTATAATGAGCAAACCTTAGAAAATACACGGGGGAGGAGTTTAATGGAATTGCAAAGAGCCAAAACCAACTCCACTTTTCATCCTCAAAAGCAGCATTAAGGCACCTTAGATATTAAGGAAAATTCAAGTCCCTTTCTTTCTTGGGAAGTAATTTCCACCTACCGTGTTCATGAAAAAAATATAAACCAGGTGGATGGACAACACATTTCTAGAAACAGCCTATTATAAAAGGACAAACACCAGCCTGGCAGTGGTGGCACATGCCTTTCATCCCAGCCAGCACTCAGGAGACAGAGGCAGGAGGATGTCTGAGAATTAGAGGCTAGCCTGAATTTCAGGACAGCCAGAACTACTCAAAGAAACCCTGCCAAAAACCAAAAACAAACAAAACAGCAACACAAAAGGACAAACACCAAAATCTAGATGGAAAAGCATATATATATATATTTATAGTGGAGAGGGTCAAATGTGCAGAATACATTTATGCACTTTTTAGACAGATAGATCATTTTTTTGAAATACTTTACTGGACAGAAAGTATCCTAGTCTCATGCTCTAGTCAGTGCTTTATTTCTATCTTCTAATCCAACCATCACTAAACTCATCCTTCTCCATTCTCTATGCCTATCACACAGACTATAGTATCACCCCAGCAAAGTGGGCACAATCTAATCTAGCCTTCTATTTTCCCAGAAACTCTAACTATTTGTGGCAGAGCTGTTGATTTTTTTTCTGCTGGGTGGGGTAAGGAATACTATGTACAAAACAGTACAGACTGCTACAAGAAACAATATAACAAACTGCAGTGTTCCTACAACCCAAAACTCATAAAAATTGGTGCCAATTCCTATGTGTGAGCTGAGGATTTAGAAGCAGAGAAACATCACTCACTCTCTTTAAGTATTATTGCCAGTTTGATTTCATTTCAATGGGAAAACATTAAAAAGTCAATTTTAATCTTTAACTGTTTGTTTAGAAATTCCAGGTTATTTGTTCAAAAAACATTAAAACTACTACCTTTACCAACAAACTTTCTTTTAAGTGGGTGTGTAATTAAATAAAGTTTTGTGGAATTGAGGATTGATTGAAGAGACTGGTTTGTAAAATAAATCTGTTATAATCTGTCCAGAAAAAATAATAAGCGTCTCCCCCACTTCTGCCTATTCTCATAGTTGAGAAGCTTTTCCAAACACTAAAATTTGTTACAAATATTTGTTTGGGGGAAACATCAATAAATTTTACATTGGTATAGAAGAATTAAAATGTATAAATGCTAATAAAGATGAGGAATTAAGGAACAAATGGCAATGGTTTTATATATCAAAATAAACATGTCATTAAATTGCTAATTTTAAATCAATTGCTAGTATTAAACACAGTCTAAAATGTTTGGGAGATAGAGAAAGGGCAAACACATGCAAGAACTGCCAAATTACTTACTACAAAGAACCCTGGGAAGAATGAAGAATTGAATCATCTTTTGAAAGAGAAAGAATGAGATAACCACTGCCAAACAAATAGATTAATTTTTATATCAATAAGAGAAAGATATTTTATACTGTTTCTGTAATATTCTTTAGTATCTATCAGGGGGTTCTAGAATTTCCCATAAAGTTCTTCTGTGCAAAATCCAGAAAAAAAATTGAGTGAAAAAACGCAGCTTATGAAGGTCCTGCAAACTTACCAGGCTGTAAGGTTCTGCAAAAGATTATTAGTTCGGCCGGGTGATGGTGGTGCACGCCTTTAATCCCAGCACTTGGGAGGCAGAGACAGGCGGATCTCTGTGAGTTCGAGACCAGCCTGATCTACAGAGCTAGTTCCAGGACAGGCTCCAAAGCCACAGAGAAACCCTGTCTCGAAAAAACCAAAAAAAAAAAAAAAGTTTATTAGTTACCACTTCAAAAATAGAATAACAATTGGGGAATTATTTAAAACTTTTATATATGATATTTGTGTAAATTGTATTTTGAGAAATACAAGATTTATTGAAATTACACATTGCATTGTCTTCTCTGAATCAAGAAAGAGAAATATTTCCATGTGGTAAGTCTTATAACACTGAAATAAAGAATGATTGCCAGACACCTATGGTCTCCTTTCTTGCCTATTGTTGAAAAATGTATTTCTTTGTCCGACTTACTAAGAATCTATTATACTAGGCACTGTTTTGCTTAAAAACAGAAATATTTTTGAAAATCTAACAATTGATATTTTATATTTATACACCATATCTACTAATACATCATTTATTCATTTGTAATAAGCTGTTATATTGTTGAATAAACATCAACAAAAGCTCACTTTTATCTAGGAGGAAGAAGACAGTTCTGATAGGTTCTGGCCATAGTAATCAATCATGCAACCAGTATCACTCTGAATTATTTATAAAGAGTATTGAGTATTCACTCTGAATATGATTTTAGAGAGTACCATATTAGATACTAAGTTCGGAAAATGAACCAGATTTTCAGTGACAGAAGAGAGACCAAAGGTGGTCTAGGATCACATATCTGGGAACATCCACAATTTGTATCATGCTGACTTGAGTTCCAGACTATTATTTAAGTTTCATTTTAGAAGAGAGTCAAAAGCTTGGTCAGTCACACTAAATTCAAGTAAAAATGAAAACTAATATGAAAAGATATACATGTCTTGAATGCTTGTGAATAAAGAAAAGATTCTAAAACTGCAAAATCGACAGTAAAATTTGCAATGAATTACTTTAAAAATCATAATACTGTATTTTCATGAAGCTACAATAAAATCATGTGGTATTCATTATCAAAATCACTTTAATATTGAACTTGCTCTCAATATGTCATAGTAAACAAATATAAAAGTAAGTGTAATACTCAGGACTTTAGGACACAACTAACATTCTATTTAAAGATAGGACAGAACTTTCATAAAATCAGTCACCAAAACTTTCCTAGCTGTTCTTGGCTTTTTCTGTTTGTTCCAATAGCTACTCTTCTGTTCTGCCTTTTAGTAATTGTTTAACCACCACAGTTTTGGAAATACACAGAAATAGTCTGAGAAAGAGCATAATTCCTAACAGCCATTATAGTTTTAAACATGATCATATGCGAAAATTCTGACCTACGATATGTGAGAATTGATGTGGACAATTTCCTCCTCACAGTCTTCAAAATAAACTATGTAGCTCCCATTTCTCTGGTCCATCCTTGCTATGAGCTAGAAGGCATGATAGGAGCAGCTGGGACAACATGCATAGGACCACATACTGAAAACAATGGAATATAAGGTTGATCAATCTTGGACCTTGGACAGAGTCACCCACCCATCCTGGACAATTTGCTTGCCTCTGAACTGTTAAAGAGGAACTTATAAATTGATGGAGCCTGTATTGATCCCATTGCATTGCTACAACAAAATATCATAAGTTGGTAAATTAAAAACAACAGTGTTGTAGAATATTAGTTGAAGATGTATTACATTTGTTTATGCTGTGGGACAATTGTTAAATGATGCAAAGATGTGTTGCATTCTTTTATATAATATTTGTTTAACTCTGTAAAGCTGTGTTCCTTTGCCTGCCTAGAACTCCTGATTGATCTGATAAAGAGCTGAATGGCCAATAGCTGGGCAGCAGAAAGAATAGGTGGGACTGGCAGGCAGAGAGAATAAATAAGAGAAGAAATCTTGGAAGAGGGAATCAAGGAGCAAGAAAAGAAGGAGAGAAGATATTAGGAGTCAGTCACCCAGCCACACAACCAGCCAATGAGTAAGAAGCAAAGAAAGATATATAGAATGGGGGGAGGGAAGCCCAGAGACAGAAGGTAGACAAGATAATTTAAGAAAGGCTAGGCATTCATAAAAAGGAATAAACCTCCATGTGATTTATTTGGGACCTGGGTGGTGGACCCCCAAAGAGCAAAGAATCAAGAGTTAAGAAAAAAAAAACCCAACTATACAACAATAATTTATTTCACAGATTTGAAAGCTGAGAAGTCAAGGATAGTTCCTGCTGATGACTTATTAGAACCTCCTAACTGTCTCCTCATGTAATGAAAGAGGACATTGAGCTTCCTTGGGTCACTTGTATGAGGGTACTAATGACATTCATCAGATTCCACACTCAGTGTCCCCCTAAAGGATCTACCTCCCACTGCTGTTATCCTGAGCATTTAGTTTTACATAAGGATACTGGGGAAACACCAACATTCTAGCCACAGCAGAGCCACTGCATTTTCATGTGATTTGCTATAACGGTTTATCATCCTTGCTTACTTAAAGGTAGAATTCATATTAATATTTAATAATATTAACATTGACATACAGTTGTGAGTTATTTCAGCAGGATAAAGGATTGATAAATATACCATATAACATATGACTTTATCCAGTCACATAAAGAAAAGGAACAACATCTGTTCTTCTTACTGCTTGTTGTAGCTTTACTCATCTCTTTGCTACCTTTAGGAAACCTTACTTGTTCAATCCCAACACCAGCACAAAACATCCCACTGTCAAACTAAACACTGTGTTTCCTTCTTTGTTCTGCTCCCAAGACCTTCAACTGCAACCTATAGCAGGTTGGGACTTAGGGACATGATGACAAAACCTTGCTTTCTGGAAGAAGAACTTGTAGGGAAGGGATTGGAAGACACTAGTCACATAAAAAGACCAACATGTGTACAGAGACATTAGGGTCTTCTCATCATGAAAACTTCTTTCCAAAACATGAAAACTTTTATTGTTTG